CCTCCACTTCTTCCTCACCACCTTTGCACCTTAGTCCAACTCCATCAACTTTCAAATTCAAAGATACCCACAAAGAGAACATCAAAGGTTTGAGGAAATCAAGTTATGGGTTCACTTGTTGCAGGATTTTTGGTACTGTTTTTGGGAAGCATTGAAGTGGGCTCTGGAAAGAGCCAAGCCTACACTATGAATTACATTACTTGGGAGGATATGAAGGTGGATTTGCAGAAAGAGAGGTTGGATTTGAATGAGGAACAGAATCAAAGCCGAGTAATCGTTGTTGATCAGAATAGTAAGGGAGATTCAGTTACAGTACAAGGTGCAGTTGATATGGTTCCTCTGCTCAATTCACAGAGAGTGAAAGTTTACATTCATCCTGGAATCTACAGGTTTGTATGTATTTATGTATATAATTATGATTGTCATTGAGAATAAACTCCACAGTAAGTAAATTTTCTCTCTTTCTATGGTGATTTCTCTTTTATTCCTTTTCTTTCTTTGGTTGATAAATGTGGGGTTGTATTGGGAAGATGGGGACTCGAAAAGTGGGAACGTGGGTATTGAAAGTTGTGGAATATCCATTCTAATTTCTATATATTGATTTTGAAGCTACCTTCAATATTTATTTTTTTTTTGTAATTATTATCCTTGCGTAAGAGTATTTGTAAGTTATATGAAGAATTTCAAACAAGGGAAAATGTATTTCACCATTTTATATTTTACTTTTTTTTTGTCACTCATATTAATGAAATAAATAACATCTATAAGATCGATCATATATATATAAAAATATAATAAAAGAAAAAATAGAACCCATTATATGACATGGAGACACATAAAAGGCTAATAGTTGGAGTGAATTGTTTGGGTTATATATAGGATCTTGTTTTTGTTCAAATTGAAAGAAGTCTAATCTGGTTATGTTGGATTTGTGAAGCCTAAAGCGGGTCTCATGTTCTTATTATTTTGTAAATTTCTGTGTAGGACATTTATTTAAAAATCACATTTATTTGGTAATTGAAATTATATAATTTCATCATATTTGTTTTTAAAAAATAATGAATTGTCTATTGTAAATTATTATTATTATTATTATTATTTTTTTCCATTCATATGTGATGACTACCTTTTGTGATCCTTTCATTTAAACTAAAACATTACAAATGATTTAAAAAATACCACTCTCTTTTTCTTTTTTTTTTCTTTTTTTTTTAATTTTGTAATGTTATGCTGATGATTTTATTTTATTTTTTAAAATTATATTTGTGTACCATTTTCCATCATCATAGCTCCTTGTGTTTCTACATACATATAAAGATCTCAAAATACTTGAATTGAATTACAATGCAGAGAAAAAGTGTTTGTTCCAAACTCCAAGCCTTACATTTCATTCACTGGAGATGAAAATCGAACTTCTGAAACCATTATAAAGTTTCTGATAAAGACAATAATGGACGTCGATTAGGGACCTCTAGATCAGCTTCTGGCCCTATTTGGTAGAGCTTGGGGAAAGTATTTATAGCTTATGCCTTAACAGCTTATAGCTTATAACTATGAACATAAGCTGATTTTTGACTTATAAATTAAGCTTCTTCTGCCTTACTCAAAGAATAAGCTGATTTTTGACTTACAAAAAGCTATAAGCGGCATTGTTAAGCTAAACCAAACACATCAAAATAGCTTAAATTAAGCTGAAAGCTGAAATAAGCTGAAAAAAAGCTGTACTAAACAGGGCCTCTGTCACTATAGAATCTGATTTCTTTTGCGCAATCGGTATCACCTTTGAGGTACAAACCCATATCTATTTTTGATTTTATATTTTTTAAAACAAAAACCCCAAAACACAAACAATTCTTATCAATGATGTGGTATGCCTGAACTCAGTGGTTGCGGTCCCTAGAGCCTATGGAATGCAAGCTGTAGCATTAAGGTTAGCCGCCGATAAAGCCATGTTGTATAAAGTTAGGGTATTGGGGACACAAGACACACTTCTAGACGATTACAGATCACATTATTTTTATTAGTGTTACATTCAAGGTTCTGTTGATTTTATATTTGGTAGATCTCGGTCGCTCTATCAGGTATCATTCAAATCCTCACTACCCATATATGATAATCATATGTCCAATATGTTTCTTGATAATGATTTGTAGAATTAGATTTCTTGAACTAGGATTGTGTTCTTCACTCAACAGCTGAAAGATTTGGAGCAATTGCAGCTCATCATAGAGATTCACAATATGATGATACATGGTTCTCTTTTGTAAATTGCACAATTAATGGATCAGGAATTGTCTACCTGGGAAGAGCTTGGGGAAATTACTCGCGAGTAATATACTCATACTATGATATCGACAATATAATAACTCCATCCGGGTGGAGCGACTGGAATCAACCATCCAGGCAAAAGTATGAATCTTTTCTTATTAAAGAAAATAGAAAATGAAACACGGAAACGTTTTAAACTATTCAAAACTTTGAAATATAATTCGAGTTTGCAATTACAGGACTGCAATGTTTGGAGAATACCACTGCAGAGGGAGAGGAGCAGATAGAAGAAACATAGTGCCATGGTCAAAGTCCCTGAATTATGAGGAAGTAAAACCATATTTAAATGTGGCATTTGTAGCTAGAGAGCAATGGTTGAGACTATAGGAGTACTATTTTCATGTATTTATGCAATCATGCATATTGAGGTTCAATTATTCGGGCATTTTTTTATTTATATTTATATTAAGGCCTCGTTTGGGAACCCTCCCATTTAGCCAAAAAGTAAAAAAGTTACTAAAAAAGTCAAAAAGCCAATAACCCATACTAAAAAGTCAAAAATTCTCTTTTCTCTGTACTTTTTGCACATCTTTTCATAAAAAGTCAAAAAGTCATCCCAAACATACTAATTTTTTTTAGCTCATACTTTAGTCAAATAACCAAAAAATTACTAAATTAGTCTGTTCCCAAACGAGGCCTAAATGACAAAATAGTCGTTAGCACAAAAATTTTGATCACTTCATGTTTTGAATTTGTGTATTGTTTGAATGTGATTGTATGTTTGTTTGAATGTGATTGTATGTATGAGAGTGAATTGTTATATTGTTTATAGGGTGTTTTTGGTGACCATTTGTGAAGTTGCAAAGGTGGCCATGCGGGGGATACTGTGACCCTGGTTTGGTGGTGCCATGTCATGCACTTGAGAAGTTGAGAGTGGAAATAATAAAAAGTGTTTCATTATATATATTAGATATCTAAAATATTTAAGAGCACTAAAAGTAGAGTTTTTAGAGTTCTACTTATGTGACAGTAAATCTCGCTCATAAATGATTTGATATATGTGTGTTTTTTTTTTTAATTTCATATCACATCATTAGGGTCATTGTTAGAGTTCCAAATTTAGAGTTATGAATAATTATTCATTAGATATTGGGGTAAAAGTAAATATGACATTTTAACAAAACTAAATGTTAAGACATGAGTAAATTTTGCTAGATGACTCAACAGTGAGTTTTTTTTTTTTTTTTTGCTATGTGATTGGGGGATTATAGTGTGTGTATAGAGATATATATATATATATATTACAGAATAGTGTGCGCCCACAATAGTTAAATTGCAGTATAAATCACACCTTAAATACATATTTTCATAATACATGTTAATTTTACTTAACAAAAGAATTTGTAAAAATTAATTACAAAAATATAAAATAATTTATAATTTTACTTTTCAATATTTGTAATTTTATCATTAATTTGAAAATAATTTTTAAATTGAAGTGTAATTTCCCAATTTTTTTAACAATTGATAAGTATATATTTTTTAATATATATACTTATGACAAACATTAAAAAAAGACCCACCACAATTGTAATTTTTAGGAAAAGAAGGTTGATGTAATTATTATTATTATTACAATACTCGCAATACTCGCATTCTTCGAAGGAAGAAATTTCGTGGAAATTAACTTTCAGACTTTGGCATAGACGTTGACATCTGTACAAACAAGTAGCTCGCAAGTAGCGCAAATAAGCAGAGTATAGAAACAAGAAGGGTAAATTACATTTTACATTTATGCGCTTTACAACAAATTTTATTTCAGTCTTTATATATTAAATTGTGACATTTTATTTTTTACATTTTTAATTAAATGTTACTTTGACTCTTTTGTTAGTCTCATTGTTAATAAAGATTAGTTACTTAAAAAATATGTGAGAATAAATTACACTTTATACCCTTATACTTTATACAAAATTTCTCTTTAATTCTTACGCATTAAAATTGTGACACTTCCTAACTTCGGTTACCCTTACTATTAATAGAAGGAGTAATGTGATATTTGACCAAAAGTGTAGGAATTAAATATTATAATTTAATGCGTAGAAAGTAAAATAAAATTTTGCGTAAAATGCAGTAGGTGGAAAGTGTAATTTATCCAAACGAGAGATACTGTAATATCTGTTCTCTCATCAATCAAAATCCCCAATCTTTTGAGTAAGGGATTTGGTAGTACCCCAACCAAACAGTTATCAATGCTTCATCTATTCCATCTTCATCTCGATCTCGATGTACATACGATGTGTTCTTGAGCTTTAGAGGCGAAGACACTCGCGATAACTTCGTCAGCCATCTATACGCAGCGTTGGCTCTGAAGGGAACTCACACATTCAAAGACGATGTAAAGCTCGAAAGAGGAAAATCTATTTCTCCGGAACTCTGGAAAGTGATTCAAGAATCTAGGTTTTCAACTGTGGTTTTCTCCAAGAACTAGGCTTCTTCCAGATGGTGTTTGGATGAGCTTGTGGAGATACTTGAATGCAGCAACACAACTGTTTATCCGATTTTCTATCACGTGAATCCATCGGATGTGCGACGCCAAAGAGGGAGTTTTGGGGGTGGATTTGAGGAATTGGTGTCCAAACAGCAAGTATTGGGGATGGAGAAGGTCCAAAGGTGGAGGAATGCTTTGGAGCAAGTTGCCAATTTATCGTACCCCAACCAAACAGTTATCAATGGCTTCATCTGTTCCATCTTCATCTCGATCTCGATGTACATACGATGTGTTCTTGAGCTTTAGAGGCGAAGACACTCGCGATAACTTCGTCAGCCATATATACGCAGCGTTGGCTCTGAAGGGAACTCACACATTCAAAGACGATGTAAAGCTCGAAAGAGGAAAATCTATTTCTCTGGAACTCTGGAAAGCGATTCAAGAATCTAGGTTTTCAACTGTGGTTTTCTCCAAGAACTAGGCTTCTTCCAGATGGTGTTTGGATGAGCTTGTCGAGATACTTGAATGCAGCAACACAACTGTTTATCCGATTTTCTATCACGTGAATCCATCGGATGTGCGACGCCAAAGAGGGAGTTTTGGGGGTGGATTTGAGGAATTGGTGTCCAAACAGCAAGTATTGGGGATGGAGAAGGTCCAAAGGTAGAAGAAAGCTTTGGAGCAAGTTGCCAATTTATCTGGATGGCCTTATCCTAGTGATTCAATTGTTAGGTATTTAATTACTTAAATTAAATTAAAACATTCTCTCTCTTTTTCTTTTTCTTTTTTTTCTTTGATTTACTACCAGTTGGCTGTGCGATGTAAGATAAAAATAAAGGGATAATTATAAATTAAAAAAAAAAAACTGAAGAATTTAAATTCTAATGTTTAAATTTATTTTTAATCTCAATCATTCTTGTTAAATAAAAATTGAGAAAAAATTATTTTAAAATTATTAAACTCAATATAGATATACATAAAATGTTTAAAATATTTTTTTTATTGAATTTAATGATGAAAATATAATTTTTCAATTAATTTTACTTAATAAAAATATACAAATAATTTAGATCGAAAATAAATTAAAATTTAGTTTTTAAATTGACAAAATTTAAAAATTAAGATTTATTTTGTTCACAGGGTTAAACTTTGGAAAATTTTATTTCCACACGCTTAATTCCCTTAGTGCACATCTTCTTTCAATACACACACTTATGTCTCTATACATTTATATGTCCTGTTCCATAATTATCTTTATCCATTGCAATGAGCAACATTAATCACAATTAAAATAATGGTAGTTTACCTTTTTATAGCTCTTTTGCATTTTGATTCACAAACTATTGGCCTAAATCTACAAGTCGAATCAATGTTCATCCAAGAACTTGTGGGCATACTTTTTAGAAAATTAAATCATACATATTCGAGTGTTTCTGAAGACCTAATTGGGATGGATTCTCGTATGGAGGAAATGACTGAATTGCTAGGATTAGGGATGGATGATGCTCGTGTTGTGGGGATAGGGGGATGGGTGGAATAGGTAAGACAACTCTTGCAAGTGCTATTTATGCCCATATCTCTTCCCAATTTGAAGGTTACAGCTTCATTGAAAATGTTAGAGAAGTTTCAAAAAAAGGTGGTCTGAAAACTCTGCAAGAACAACTCATTTCCGAAATCTTAATGGAGAAAGATTTGAAAGTAGGAAATGTTGGTAGTGCCTTAAGTACGATAAGGAATAGGGTATGCCGTAAAAAGGTTCTTATTGTTCTTGATGATGTGGATGAATCAACAGAACTTGAAAATTTGGTAGGAGAGCTTGATTGGTTCGGTTTTGGAAGTAGAATCATTATAACAACTCGAAATCAACATACATTATTCAGATATAGCATAACACATATTTATAGGGTTGAGGAATTAGGAGAAGATGAAGCTATAGAACTCTTTAAATTGAAAGCCTTTAGGAAACACCAACAAATGGGAGGCTATGGAAAACTTGTACGTCGTGCAGTAGAGTATGCTAAATGAGTTCCTTTAGCTCTCAAAGTTTTGGGTTGTTTTCTTTGTGGGTGAAACAAAGATGAATGAGAAAGTACATTAAACAGATTGAAAGAAATCCCTCTAAATGAAGTTCAACAAGTACTCAGAGTAAGTTACGATGCATTACAATTGGTAGAGAAGCAAATATTCTTAGATATTGCATGTTTTTTCAAAGGGAAAGACAAAAATGATGTAAGGACAATACTAGAAAGTTGTGACTTCCACTCAATTATTGGAATAAAAGTTCTTGTTGAAAAGTCTCTTGTATCTATCTCATACAATAAGTTGATGATGCATGATTTGATACAAGAACTAGGGTGAAATATTGTTCGTCAGGGCTTCATGAAGATTCAACACGTGTGCTGATGGAGAATACGGTAAGAGACCTTATAGAAAAGTATGAACACTCTCAACTTATTTATTTAACAAAGCTGATTCAGCATAATTTTGTCAGCCTTTTAACATTGTGCTGTTGTTATTTTCTTGTGGTTATTAGGGAACAAAAAAGGTTGAAGGCATAGTTGTGGAGTATCTTGACCTTCGAAGTCGAGATCCAAAGGACATTGGCCTAAAAGAATTGAAGTTGAGGCCTAAAGCTTTTGCAAAGATGTTGAACTTGAGAATTCTCAAAATTTGTTGTATGTACCTCTCAACAGACCTCAAATATCTTTCTAACAAGCTCAGGTATCTTGATTGGTGCGAATACCCTATGAAATACATGCCTTCAACATTTCAACCAGAGCGTCTTGTTGAACTTCGCTTAACATATAGCAGCATTGAACAACTTTGGAAGGGAACAATGGTATGAATATGCATTCCATTTAATTGCTCTAACTAAGATGCAAAGTCCTTGAAACAATATATTTTCTGCAATTTCTATCTATCCTTTCCCCCCCCTTTAATAGCATCTAGACATGTTAAGGATCATGAATCTTAGTCACTCGACATATCTAGCCAAGTGCCCAGACTTCACGAGGATCCCAAATCTGAAAGACTGATTCTTGAAGGCTGTACAGGTTTGGTTAATCTTGATCCATCCATAGAAATTCTCAAGAATCTTATTTTCTTGAATTTGAAGGACTGCAAAAATCTCATGAGTCTTCCAAGTGGCATTCAATTGGAATCTCTTGAAGTTCTTAATGTCTCTGGGTGCTCAAAGCTTAAAAACATTTCAGTTAACTTTGGATATATGAAATGTTTATCAGAGCTTTATTTAGATGGGATTGGTGTAAGTGAACTTCCACTTTCAATTGGACATCTTACCAATCTTGTTTTGTTGAGTTTGAGCAATTGTAAAAACTTGAGAAGTATTCCAGACAACATTTGTCAGTTGAAAGCTCTTACAAGTCTAAATCTCTTTGGGTGCTCCAAACTTGAGAAACTGCTGCAAGACGTGGGTGTTCTGGACTGTTTAAAGGATTCATGTAGTTACTCCCTCTTGCCTTCAATTTTACAAAGACAGAGAGAGAGTCACACAACTTTGGAACTAGAAGCTTTGTTGAGGTGGGGGTCTTTGAAACACCTATTCCTCGATGATTGTAATTTAAAAGCTATCCCCACAACTATTTGCCACATCTACTCGTTGCGAAGTTTAGATCTAAGTAGAAACAATATTGAAAGTTTACCTGCGAGCATGAATGAACTTTCTAATCTGTGGTTCTTGTATTTGAATGGTTGCAAGAGGCTTCAAGAACTGCCAGAGCTTTCATCATATATACATTTTATAGATGCTAATGATTGTACATCATTAGGAACAATATTGAGTCTGTCCAAATACGATCATGTTGCAGAGTTTTCCTTCATGAATTGCTTCAAACTTGTTGAGCAAAACAACATCCTGTCAGAAAATTTTCTTTCAAATCAATTTCAGGTTCTCTGTGTGTGTGTGTGTGTGTGTGTGTGTGTGTGTGTGTCTAAGCATTGTGACCAAGGTTTTGAAAAGTGGTTGCGGTCGCCATAATGGTGGCGGTGGCGCGGTTGCGGTTGCGGGGTGTAAAGGCCGTAGCGTAACAGTTGCGGTAACCGGAACCGTGAATTTTTTTATTTTTCGCACAATTTGAAAAAAACTTACCGATACGCACATTTTTTTCCATGATCATATTTACTGGGTTTTAAAATAAATATTGATCAATTTTTATAAATTTTTAAGTTTGATCAAATATATTTCATATTTTTAAATCACTATAAACTGAGTTTTTTACATTTTATTTTAATAATTAATGACTTTATATTATACAAAAAATCAATCACTAACTATTATATATATGATAAACAATGACAAAAGTAAGAGAATAAATAAAAGTCTAAATATATATATATATATATTAATCAAGCCAAATAGATAATGACCCACACTTATTATTATTATTATTATTATTTTCAAACAATATATAGATAGACACACACAAACAAAATGGTTGAGTGATAACAACTGAATAGAATAGCAAAGGTCTTACAGTTTTAACAAATCAATAACATGCTCTTCATCTTCTCTCTTCTCTCTCTTTATCTATCTTTCGTTCCTCCATCTCCCCTTTCATATTTCATCTTCTCTCTCTATCTCTCTTTCCCCATTTTCAACTTTTTTTTTTTTGTGTTTTGTTTTTCGAAAGAAGCAATTCGGAACCGTTACGTAACGATGTGTAACAGGCTGTTACGGCTGCTACAACACCGTTACGACCGCTATAGTAGCCGCTACGGCCAATACACCTGTGAATCTCAATCACAACTGCAAAAGTGGCCGTAACGAGTGGCGGTAACTACCACAACCGTTACGTAACGGTTGCGGCCGCTTTTTAAAACCTGGATTGTGACCAATCTTTATTGTACAGAGATACTTTGAATACGCTGAATTTATTTTCCCCGGGAGTGAGATTCCAGAGTGGTTCAGTCATCAAAGTAGGGGGTGTTCAGTATCGTTTGTTTTGCCTCCACATTGGTATAATGACAGGTTCTTGGGATTTGTTTTCGCTGTTGTTGGAATCAAGAATAAATCTAAGTGCTGCAAGTGTTATTATTCTATTGTAATTGGAAACATTTGCAGTAGAGTGTCCGAGTTGAAGACAATTTTATTTGGTGCCAACTGAGTTCAAGGTACATACCTAGTCAAAGCAACCACTTTCACTTGGTCCTAAACCTTTTGATATTGAAGTGGTCCTCCTCCTGATCATCGAATCCGCCACTTCGACTGGGTCCTGCTGCTGCTACATCATAGTCATTGTTGTCATTGAGGTCATCGCGTTCTCTCTTTGATGTAGTTGCACTAGCACTAGCACTAGCAACTTCTACTCCTCCTGATCTATCCAAGTCTCCATGGAACATACCCATACCCAAGTTATCTTCAGGTCTGTATATAATCACTATGTCTTCATCAGCTTCCTCGTATAATAAATGGACACCAACCTTTTCCACCTCAACAACATGCTCCCATTCAATTTCACTTGTATGACGTCCGAGTTTTATACCATCATAAGCTACAGCATCCGTTTTAAGTCCTCCGAATGGGCAATTATGACTGGCTTGAACTAAACAAACTTGAAATTCAATTCCACCCTCATTCAATTGCCCCATATGATCTTCCATTAGTCCCAGAAAGTCAGTGCATGGGAAATAAACAACTCGTATATTTCCAGAATTCGCCAATCGAAAATGTAGATGCGGTATACAGCATTTTCTGGTGATCGTCTGAGTACCAAGGTGCTTAAACGTCATCTTAAAAGAAAAGCACTTGTGGCACTTGGATTTATCCTTGATTACAACAGCAGCGAAAATAATTCCCAAGAACCTGCTATTATACCAATGTGGAGGCAGCTTAAAAGATATTGAAGAACCCTTACTCTGATGACTGAACCACTTTGGAATCTCACTCCCGGGGAAAACAATAAAAGAAACGGATTGCTGTCCTCCAGAATTTCTCTGTACAATAGAGATTGGTCACAATGCATACACACACACACAGAGAACCTGAAATAAATTTGAAAGAAATTTTTCTGTCAGGATGTTGTTCTGCTTGTTCTCAACCAGTTTGAAGCAATTCATGAAGGAAAAGAAGTCAACATTTTTGAATGTGGATGGACTCAATATTGTTCTTAATGATGTGCAATCATCGGCTAGTATTTTATGTACTGATGATGAAAGCTCTAGCAGTTCTTTAAGCTCTTGCAACCTTCCAAATGCAAGCTTGACAGCTTCGAAAGTTGATTCATGCTTGCAGGTAAACTTTCAATGCTGTTTCCACTGAGATTTAATTGTTGCAACAAGTAGATGTGGCAAATGGATGTGGGGATAGATTTTAAATTACAGTAACTGAGATCTAGTTCTTGTAAAGACTCTAACCTTGACAAAGCTACTAGTTCCAAAGTCATGGAATTCTCTCTCCATCTAAGTAACGTTGAAGGCAAGAAACAAGAATGCCATGAATTAGATGTTAGTCCTTTACACCCTAGAAAGGATAATATTTCTAGTTTCTTCAGAAGTCCAATGGAGGAGGGGACTTGTCTAATTGCAACGCAATCTGCACGAAGCTCCTTTAAATAGTCCAGGAAACCCACATCTTGCGGAAGTTTGTCAACTTTGGAGCACCCAGAGAGGTTTAGACTTGTAAGAGCATTCAACTGACAAATGTTGCCTGGAATACTTTTTAAATTTTTACAATTGCTTAGATTCAGAGAACCAAGACTGGTAAGATGTCCAACTGAAAGTGTAAGTTCACTTACACCAATCCTATCTAAATAAAGTTATGATAAACATTTCATATATCCAAAGTTGATTGAAATGTTTTCAAGTTTTGAACACCCAGAGACATTAAGAACTTCTAGAGATTCCAATTGAATGTCACTTGGAAGACTCTTGAGATTTTTGCAGTCCTTCAAGTTGAGGCAAATAAGCCTTCTAAGAATTCCAATGGATGGATGAAGATTAACCAAACTTGTACAGCCTTCAAGAATCAATATTTCAAGATTTGGGACCTTCGTGAAGTCTGGGCTCTTGGTTAGATATGTTGAGTGACTAAGATTCATGATCCTCAAAATGCCTAGATGTGGCTGAAGAAAAACAAAAAATAAAAAGAAATTACGAAAAATATACTGTGTCGAGGACTTTGCATCTTATTTAGAATAATTAAACATAATGCACATTCATACCTTTGTTCCCTCCCAAAGTTGTTCAATGCTGCTAGAGGTTAAGTGAAGTTCAACAAGATGCTCTGGTTGAAATGTTGAAGGCATGCATTTCATAGGGTATCCGCACCAATCAAGATATCTTAACTTATTAGAAAGATATTTGAGGTCTTCTGTGAGGTGCATACAACACATTTTGAGAATTCTCAAGTTTGACATCTTTGCAAAAGCTTTAGGCCTCAACTTCAATTCTTTCAAGCTAATGTCCTTGGGATCTTGATGTCCGAGGTCAGGATAATCCATAGCTATGCCTTCGACATTTTTTGTTCCCTAATAAGCACAAGCAAATAACAGCAACACAAGGTTAAAAGGCTGACAAAATTATGTAGAATTAGCTTTGTTAAATAAATAAGTTTAGTGGTCATGCTCTTCTATAAAATCTCTTACTGTATTCTCCGTCAGCATACATGTCAAATCTTTTTCTACACTCCCCAGGCTCTTTAGGTGATTTCTGGCGAACAATATACCACCCTAGTTCTTGTATCAAATCATGCATCATCAGCTTATTGTCTGAGATAGTTACGAGAGACTTCTTAACAAGAACATCTATTCCAATAATTGGGTGGAAGCCACAACTATCTAGAATTTTTGTTACATCATTTTTGTTTTTCCCTTTGAAAAAACAAGCAATATCTACGAATATTTCCTTCTCTACCAATTGTAATGCGTCGTAACTTATTCTGAGTACTTGTTGAACTTCATTCAAAGAGCTTTCTTTCAGCTTGTTTAATGAACTTTCCCATTCATATTTGTTTCAACCACAAAGAAAAGAACCCAAAACTTTGAGAGCTAAAAGAACTCCTTTAGCATACTTTACTGCACGATGTACAAGTTCTCCATAGTCTTCCATTTGCTGGAGTTTCCCGAAGGCTTTCGATTTAAAGAGTTTTGTAGCTTCGTCTTCTCTTAATTCCTCAACCTCATAAATATGTGTTATGCCATATCTAGTTAATGCATGTTGATTTCGAGTTGTTATAATGATTCTACTTCCAAAACTGAACCAATGATGCCCTCTTATCAATTTTTCAAGTTATGTTGATTCATCTACATCATCGAGAACAATAAGAACCTTTTTACAGCATACCATGTTCCTTATCATACTTACTCCACTACCAACACTTCCTATTTTCAAATCTTTTTCCATTAAGATTTCGGAAATGAGTTATTCTTACAGAGTTTTCAGACCACTTTTTGCTGAAACTTCTCTAACATTTTCAATGAAGCTGCAACCTTCAAATTGGGAAGAGATATGGTCATAAATAGCTCTTGGACCTTGGACCTTGTCCAAAGCATTCCTCCACCTTTGGACCTTGTCCATCCCCAATACTTCCTGTTTGGACACCAATTCCTCAAATCCACCTCCAAAACTCCCTGTTTGGCTTCGCACTTCCGATGGATTCACATGATAGAAAATCAGATAAATAATTGTGCTGCTGCATTCAAGTATCTCCACAAGCTCATCCAAACACCATCTGGAAGAAGCATAGTTCTTGGACAAAACCACAATTGAAAACCTTGATTCTTGAATCGCTTTCTGGAGTTCCGGAGAAATAGATTTTCCTCTTTCGAGCTTTTCATCGTCTTTGAAGGTGTGAATTCCCTTCAGAGCCAACACTGCGTATAGATGGTTGACGAAGTTATCGCGAGTGTCTTTGCCTCTAAAGCTCAAGAACACATCGTATGTCCATCGAGATCGAGATGAAGATGGAACAATAGAGGAAGCCATTGTTAACTGTTTGGTTGGGGTACTACCAAAGCGTCAGTGAGAAGCTTAGAGTGATCTCCTAGAGTTACCAATGCAACGGCTAAAATTAAAACTAACCAAAACGACGTCGTTTTTGTTAGTAAGTTGGAAAAAAAATAAAATAAAATAAAAATTAAAAAAATCATTTCAAATTCCCTCTACATACAAAGGTATAGCAGAAGGGAAAGGAAAACAGAGTGCGAGAAAGAGAAGAAGAGAGAGAGAGAGAGGTCGCTCCTCCTTCCAGATCCTTATTAACTTGCTTGCCTGTGTAAGCTTTATGTTTTTCTATTCAATGCTTCATTTAGTTAGTTGGTTGCTTACTATATACTCTCATTTTATGTATTTTTATGAAAGTCGTGCTGTGGAAAAATTCGGATTTTTTTTTTAATGTTAATGATAATACATAGTTACATGATTGTTACATGATTTTTTTGAAATCTATATTTGGGGTTTTGAATTTTTTTTGTTTTGAACCTTAGCTTAGCTTATATACACAGTTATATGCATAGTTATCAGTCAATTGCATATGTACACAGATATACACAGTTATATATAGCTTAATATATCAGTCAATTCAAATTGTTTTTGAACCTTAACTTAGCTTAACTGTGTATATTTTGGGAGATTGTTTTCTATTTTGTGAATTTGTAAATTGCATATAACTGAATTTGTAAATTGCATATAACTGTAAGACCAAAATAATGTAACAGTTATATGAAGGCAGGACGACGGGGCGACAGAAGGCAGGGAGGAGCGGCCTCTCCCTCTCTTCTTCTCTCTCTCTCTCTCGCACTCTGTTTTCCTTTTCTTCTTTCCACCTTCTGTTGTACCTGCGTATATGGAGGGAATTTGAAATTATATATATTTTTTTTCAACTTACTAACCAAAACGACGCCGTTTTGATTAGTTTTAATTTCAGCCGTTGAATTGATAATTTTAGGAGATTACTCTAGGCTTTTCAATTTAGAGGATCCCGACGCACTACGAAATCCCTTACTCAAAAGATTGGGGGATTTTGATTGATGAGAGAGCAGAGATTACTAGTATCTCTCGTTTCTATACTCTGCACATTTGCGTTACTTGCGAGCTACTTGGTCTATGTA